CCCCCGCCGCGGGCCCGGGGCCCCCCGACCGCTCCGACCGGCTCCGGGGACGGCGGGCCCGGTGCGCGGGGCCCCCCGCCGCCGCCAGCGCGCGTCGGCTCCTGCCCTGCGCCAGCCGCGCCCCGGGCCTCGCTCCTCTACCTTTGTGTCCCCGCTTTCGACTTCCCATCGCGGTTCTGTCTCCTCTCTCGCGCGCCGCAGCTTCTCCTCAACCCCCTGCCTCTCGCTCCTTTCCCGGTGTCGGTCTCTCCACTCTCCAGAGTTCTAGTCTCCCCTTCCGTCTAACCTCTTCCTCTTAGTTCTGGATATTCCTTCTCACTAGATTCTCTATCATTCGACTCTTTGCCCTTTTAAAAGCGAATAAAAACTCTGCGGCCTTTCCCGTGTTCTTTAGTGAAGTCACTTCTCTGTTTCGAGTTTTTTCCTTCATTTTCTTTTCGGTTACCGTATTTCCTTTGTGTGCACCTTCGTCTCTCACCTCTGTGGCATTTTTCCGCTCTCTCACTTTTCTTTCCCCTGGCTGCCCTCTTGGCGCTGTGTTTTTGTTTGTTTGTTTGTTTGTTTGTGCCTCCCCTTCACTGTGTCCCCCGACTCTTATCTAATCATCTCTCCCTCTTCCAGCTCAAAGCCTCCTCCCCTGCTGTCCTCTCTCTTGAAGACGTAGCTGCCGTGCTCAGCCCCTGATGCTGCTGTCCCGGGATGGTAGGCGGAATGATTTTTTTTTTGGGGGGGGGATGCCGCCCTTTCCCCCTGTCCCAGAGTCCCAGCTTCAAGGTTGGCGCCCACCCGGCCTAGAGCGCCTTTCTAGCCGCTGGGCCGCAGGGCCTCGCAGCAGGGGTTCTGGCGGACGCCCGGCGGGTGTGGACGCGGACAGAAGGCTCACCTTCCATGTCCCTGGTGACCGTGCTGAAGTGCATCCCGACTGGGGATCCCGGTGGCCGGCGAGGTTTCGCCCGGTCCAAGGGCCCGGGGCCCCGGTGGGCGGCGCCCTCCGAGCCCTCGGCTGCAACGAGAGAGGCGATGCTGAACGCGCTGGCCCGGGCAGACAGCGGGCTCCGCGCGTCCATAGGCGCCCCGGCCTGACCGGCGCCGCCTCCGACTGCGTACGCCCAGCCGCACCGCGCCCAGCCCAGCGCAGGGGGCCCCGGGGGCGGGGGCCTGTAGTGCCACTCACAGCCTCCGGTCCCAGGCCCAAGGGATTATGGCGTCATGAGACCCCCCCATTTTCAGCCAGTATTGGCCCGGGAGTCCGGACAGTTGGAGCGCCCTGCAAATTCAGGGCCCTCCCGCCTTCCAAGCTCTCTGTCCCTGGTCTCTGCTCCCAGGGCCCCGTGCGACCATCGCCCCTTAGACATCCCGCTGCTTCTGCGGAGGCTGGATGTCCCCTCTATTGGGCGAAGCCACCAGCAGAGTCTACAGCCCCAAAGGAGAAGCTGCGGTGTCTCAAGCACTCAGCCCAAGTTGGAGCTGTCAGGGCACTGGTGAGGCGCTGAGGGGCTGCCTGAGTCTAGCCCTGCCCTTGGCCCCACCTGCCTCCACCTCCTCCCCGGCGGCCCCTGCACCTGGGTGACAGAGCGGCTCCGGCTCTGGCTCTCGCACAGGCCACAGGCCACGGGCAGATAGCCCCGGGGCTGCGGAGTCCTTCTTCCCTCCGCGTCGCAGAGCTGGACGTCACCAGCAAATGCCCCTACAGGCCCCTTGGGTCAGCTTGCTTTCGTGGTGGGGAAGCGAGCCGTGGGACGCCGCCCAGGCCGCACAGCCCGGGAGCCCCAGCGTCACGCGCACCCTGCGCGCACCGCCCGCCTCTGGCCAGGACGTTTTTACATCCGGAGGGTGGGCAGTGCCCGCTCCTCCGACCTCCCTGCGCACCAGCGGGGCGCAGGGAGGGCCGGGGGCGGGGCCTGGCCGGCCGAGGGAGCTGAGGACACGTCGGAGAAATTCAGACCGCATGGTGGGGTGCTGTCCCCTCTCCACCCTGAGGCCAGCCTACCCACAGGCAAGGCCTAGCTGCTAAGGTGCGGGACCAGGCCCTCAGCCTTTGGGCCTCAAGGCATCATGACACCAAGGCTTCTTCACTGCACCAATCTCCACTTCTCCTGCACCTTCCCTTCACCTACTGTCTCAGGGCCCCGTCTGACCCGTTCAGTATGCCCGTGACCTTTGCGCACAGGATATGAAGCCCAGAACCCCCCCCCCCATTCTCCTAAAGACTAGTAGACAAGGCCTAGTGTGCAAGGCCTTTCCGCCCAAGACTTTACAGGCCTTCTGCTGAGCTGGTCGAGATGCGGTGGAATGCGAGCAGCCTCTCCTGGGCTTTGTACAGTCTCAAGGCCTCCACTCCTTGGGCTGTAGTGCCTACTAGCTGGAAGGATCAAGGCCAGTCGTGCAGGGAGTGGGTATCTGGGAGCTGTCTGATGGATGGCGGTGGTGTGGGAGGAGTGTGTGACTGGACGGATGCCCTCGGCCTGCCCCAGCCTGCAGCTGAAAGCTTAAGGACACACTTGCTAAGAAAGGGAAGCTGTCTCCAGGTCATGGTGCAGGAGTGGGCCATCCATTCAGGGGCTAATGTCAGCGGCCTATGTCGCTGGCCTGGGGGACAGGTCTAAGGAGTGTAGTGTGGGGACTGGGTGGGCCACGGGGTTCTTTCCCTCTTTCCTGAGCAGGGCTAGCCCTTTGCCTCCAAAACCCCAGAAGGGATAGCCTCCATAGAAGGAGAGCCCTACCATGGGCAGTGGGCAGGTGCTTAAAGGTCACATAGTGATACAGAGAGGTAGTGGCGTCAAAGAGCTTCATCCAGTGAGGCCCTCTAAGCGGAGCCTCATGTGGGGTGTAGGGATAGGGCCCTGGCAGGTGATTGTGCATTATTGGGATACACACAGCCCCAGGGTGGAGTGCCTGGGGTTTTTCCCAGGGCTGCAGCCAGACCCTGGGCCTCGGTAAGGCCAACACTGAGAAGTGAAAGTGAAAAACCTCTGGAGCTCCTGGTTGCTCTAGGTTAGCCTTGTGGTCTGCACCTAGTCTCCAGCCCACACCTGCGTTGATGAGGGGTGTCTCCCTAGTCTCCGTTAACCCCTTCCTGCTGTGGCTGCGCTTGCAGCCCACAGCTGGGTCAGCAAACACTTCACAGCAAACAATCCCCTTGCGCAGAGGCTGGGAATGAGTGTGTGTGTGTGGGGGGGCCGCTTAGCCAGTTCTGTGTGTGGCCAACCGGCTCTACTCGCAGCGGATACGCACCACCCTGATCACCGGCATCCTTCCTCCCCAACGCTGCCCACACTAGCCAACACAGTAGAAAATTGGAACCCTTAGGAAGACTGGCTTAAGAAACCCGAAACCCTGCAAGTGCAAGTCCGCCGCCGTAGCCTCTAGCCTGCCGTAGAGGAGCCGCCTCTTCGGTCTCCAGCCTCGGGCTCTTCGGACTGCCCCTTCCCCGGGAGCTGCGCGGAAACTGCGAGGTCGGTGCCTTGTCACCCAGTAACTGGCCCGCGCTCCTCTCCTCCCGACCCTGCCTCATCCCCAGTTCTTGCCCACAGCACTGAGGAACGAACTTACTCGGTAGCCCTGCACCCCGCACGCAGGTTCAGAAGGAACGCGGAGTCTCCCCCCCCCCCCCCCCCCCCCCCGGGAAGTGCCCCCCCCCCCCCTGCACCGGCCGCTGCTCCCTTCCGCCTCGCTCCCCCCTCTCCGCCGGCGGCGCTTCCACCGTGGCGGTAGGAGACCTGGCTGCTAGCCCGTGGTTTGCAGCGCCACAGAGCAGGGCTGCGCATACGGGTCGTGCAAGCTGCACGTCTCAGTCCTAAGGGCACAGTGCAAAGCTGGGGCCTGGACCTGCATTTCTCCAAGGTTTGAGGCAGGGGGTTGACATTCCCTCCCTGGACCACTTTATAGGCCCTAACACCGAGGTTAAGCTTTGAGACTGACGCCTGGGACGAAATGAGCAGGAAGCAGAGGCTGGAGACTGGACGAGCCTGAGCCCGGGAGGCTGGCTGGCGGTCTGGGCGCCTGGCTGCACCGGAGCGCAGTCTCTAGGCTCTGCCATCACTCACACACCCCTTGGTTGGCCATCTGCAGGGTCTGAAGCTGGTGGGATTCCTGAAGTCCCCCCTGCGCAGGAAGCAGACCCTCGGAGAATCCTGCCCGCCTGCTTCGCTGCGGCTCGGCTCCGCCTCCCTTGGGCACACGTGGCTGCCCCGGGGGAGCCGGCAGACCAGCTCCTCACACCCACGAGCCCCACTCCTCACTCCCTGCCCGTTGTACAGAGGGGCCTCTCGGGACTTGGCTGCCAGCCTCATGGGGTTCCTGCGCACCGGGTTCCTCCGGCCCCGACAGCCCATGGGTCTTAGGGTATACCCGCTCCCCGAACAAAGTGCCCAGAGGGCTCCCAGGGTTGACTCCTGGCTCCTTGGAGGAAAAAAAAAAAATGCATCCAGGCGGACCCGCGCAGAGGTCGTGGGCTGGGGTCCCCTGCTCCAGAAATCAGAACACGGAGGGCAGACCCAGGCTACGTCCCTGAAGGCACCGAGGGAGGCTCGGAGAGAGGCTGGGCTCTCCGTGACCTGGTTAATTCATTAAGGATTGATAGCTGGGAATTGCCTCCTGCTCCTGTCTAGACGGGGCCTCCAGGACTCCAAAGAAGCTGGTGGACACGCCAGGAGCGGCTTCTCCGGCTTCTCGGTTGACGTCGGTGGCTCTGCCTCGGCGCCCCGGACGAGGACGCGCGGGAGTCTCAGCGGCCCGGGGGTGGGAGTTTGACCTTCGCGGGAGCCGGGAGCCGGGAGCCCGGAGCCGCCGGCCCGCGGGAGGCTCTGCGCTCCCTCCCGCTCCCGGCCCCCTGGCGGCTGCCTCCGCAGGAGCCCAGATCCTCGGGCGCTCTCCGCCGTCCGTCCACGTAGGTGGTTGGCCCGAGGCTGTGATGGAGCCAATTTTGGTGACCCTGGGGAGCAAGGGCAGATCGGGAGACCCCAGTTCTGGAGGGCCGCAGGTGAGAACCGTGCCTCGCAGTAGCTGGGGCCCGAGTGGCTGTGGCCTCCCGCCCTGCCGCCAAACCTTGGGAAATTTTGTGGGGTAAGTTGTACTGGGGAGCGCATTGGAGGCTCGGGGGCCCATCAAATTCTGGGCCATTCACCCCGACAGCGCCTGTAGGTGCAACCACTAGCACAAGCACAGTGTGCAAACGCTGTATCCCGCCAGAAGCAGGCGCTGCGGTGGCTCCAGGCCCAGGGCAAGGGAAGGTCTGGGAGCAGAAGAGGCATGGCCCTTGCGTCCTTGTGCCCATGGGTCTTATGAGCAACAGGGACACTGCCCAGAGTATACAGATCAGCACTCCTTCCCTGCCTGGAGGGACCCTGAGACCCTCCTTTTCTTAACTCAAATTCCCCTATTGGTCTTTGACCCTTTCCAGTCTTGATGCCGTCCCTCTCTGAAACTCCACTGCTGAAACCCAATGACCCATCAAACCCACCCCAGGTGCCCCACCCTAGCGTGGGGCCTTTTATTGGAACTCAAGGCTCAGCACTGTGGAGTATGGCAGACTGCAGCAAGCAGGACCCCTGGAAATGGGGGGAGAGCACCCCAGATCTACAGTGGGGCTTCCCGGAGGAGGATCGTGGGACTCAGAGAGCCATCTCGGTGGCCTGGCTAGTGCCTCTGAGCGGGCTAGAGAGAGAACAGCTTCCTCTGTGCAGCCTCACAGTTCCTTCTTCAGCTGAGACTCTTCCAGCACCTCAGAGCCACCTGGCTCCTGTCTCAAGGCAAATGCTGACCCATTTCAGACACTGAACCATCTAGGTCCTGCGGCGCTGATGACTGCAGGAAGAACATAGACAAACGGAGACAGAAGATACAGTCATAGGAAAGGTAGCGATGGGTGGAAAAGACAGGGCCCTCACCTCAGCTAAGAGGACAGCCACAAACTGCTGGCTTCCTTCTTCCCGTATAAACAGTAGGGCTGCTGTGTTCTGGGCCAAGTATCCAAGATGTCCAGAAGGGAGCTGGTGAGAAGGGTGGACGAGCAATACTATCTCCCCAGGTCACCAGGGCCCCCTGCAGGCTAGAAGTCCCCACAACT